AACAGTTTAGTAACTTTCCAAGTTGAAGTATATGACTAGCTGTGAGCCATTTTCTTTACATATGGTAGCCATTTCTGTCTTGAGTATTTCAAACTTACAGTTGCCTAAAACATTCATTTGCGTTAGTAATTATGTTATTTCAAAGTGAAATTGTTTCTTGTACCAAAATTCATGAAGTAGTAAAAAGGCCAAGTAATTAGTCTAAATTTGAATTGAGTCCAGGACTCACTAATTGTAGTAATTTCTGGTAAGTTACTTAACTTCTTTTAGCCTCAATTTGCTTATCAGTAAAATGGAGGTAGCATTAGTTATGTCGTAAAATTAAAAAATTTAAAAGACTTAAATATGTCTAAAAGCATGTAACAAAGGGGACATTTATAATACCTTTAAATGTAGAATGAAGCCAAACATTTAAATTAATTAGGCAGTATTATTCGATTGGGGCTGTTCTCAGCCTGTCTATTGTAACTGGTCTCTAGAAGTGGCTAGGTCAGGAGTATTCTGGAGAAGTTTCTGGTGGCCAAGGTATTGTTTCTGACATTATGTAAAATTGAAACAACTATTAATAAATACCAGAATGGGGAGGAGGAAAAATAGAAAAGGAAAAAAAAAATGTGGTTATTGGAGAAGTCTGCAAAGTACTTTCTAATATTTTATATAGTTTTACAACAAAATTTTCCATATAATTCTTTAAAATTTCATCTCCATAATATTTGAGTGCCTTTATTATACTTATGTTAAAAAAAAGTGAAAGGAAACTCAAGGTTGACCAACATTTTGCAGTTGCCTAGCTAACCAATAGTGAGAATGGAAATTCATATTATGTTTTCAACTTTAAGTTTTATGCTCTTTCTACTTCAATATCTGTTTCCTTGATAGTAGTTGTGTTTTTCAGGTAGGTGTATATTTCAGAATCTCTAGGGATGCGTCCAGGTATATGTAATTTTTTTTTCTTACATTGAGACAGAATGCATACCCAAGTGATTCTGGTGCCCACCTCTGGCTAAAAATCATTGCTTTCTTCCAGGTTTAATCTTTCTTCTCCTGTTTCAGTACATCTAGATAACTTAGTGTGTAGGCCACATGAATAAGACTGATATGTAGGTAGATGAGCAACAACACTTGAAAAAGCAATTCAGTTTCGTTTCCTGTTCACAATCTTGATGGTTTGTCTCTCCATTTGATCAGTGCTGGTGGCTAGGAGGATTCCAGAGTAACCAGCTCCAGAAGTTAAGTTCATTAGTGTTTCCCCTTCTGCTTCCCTGAGATCAGTTTTGGCTCCTTAATACTAATGGTCTGCTCTCATTGTGTCCAGGTCCTCAGGCATTGCTTCTTGATGTTTTCAGTTGCTTGACTGAAGTTTTTTTGTTTTTGTTTTTTGTTTTTTATCTTCACCCAAGACATTTTTCCATTGATTTTTAGGGAAAGTGGAAGAGAGAGAGAAAGACAGAAAAACATCAATGTGAAACACATCGATTGGTTGCCTCCTGCAACCAAGATATGTGCCCTTGACCAGAATTGAACCCAGGACCCTTTGGTTCACAGGCTAATACTCTGTCCTGTGAGCTAAACCAGCTAGGGCTTGGCTGAAGATTTTTAATAATATTTCCTCAGCTATCTTGAAGATGCTTCATTGTCCTGGATTTAGTGGTATTTGCAGGCCATTTTTAACTCTGAATGCTCCACATTACTAATAAGCTCAAAGGTGAATGAAAAGACCATGTCTTGATGAAGTGGGAGAGGTGCATACTCTAGCAAACCCTCAGGTAGGCTACAGTTAATCACATTGTGTAGTGGATTTTCAAAAAAAAAAAACATTTTCAAAAATACAAAGTCAGATTCTATTGGAAATTACTTTCAAATTTGAAAATTAAGCATTTGCTATTGGAGGCAGTTACTGAGGTTTTGCAGTGAGTGAACTGTCTTATAACTCAGAAATTCTTATCAAAATGCAGTTGAGCAGGGGCAATAATATGCTAATATTGGCTTTTAATTTTCTGATCAGAGATCGTGTCACTAGAAACTTTACAGTGAATAAACAGAGGGCTACTCCTGTGTTGAAATTAATGTACTTGGAAGGTCCTTCTATATAGGTGTGCCTTTCTTAACATAAAAAATATAGTTCTGATAATTTTTCATTACTAAGATTTAGGGAGCCTATGATTAACATGACTGATTTTAATATGGCATTCTAGATTAAACAAAAAGTTTTAAACTTAATACCTACAAAGTATAACATAACATTCTTATTTTTCAAAATACATTGTTACGATAGATATTACATGCAGACTTATTTATGCATTGGAGGGGGCGGTCCCTCAGCCCAGCATGAAAATTTATGTATGAAAATTTATGCATTGGACAGGGGTGTCCCTTAGCCCAGCCTGGCTCCTCTCACTGTCCAGGAGCCCTCCAGCAGGAGGTGACTTGGCGATCAGGGGAAGGCAACACCACCATCACACCTCTGCTGCTGCCACTGCCAGCAGCACAAGCCTCAGACGGCCCTGGGCAGCTGCCATCTGAGGCTTGCCCGTGCCTCAGGCCGGCCCTGGGCGGCTGGGAGGATGAAGGGACTTGGGAACTTCAGAGGCAGGTCTTGCTGCACTCCTGCCAGGGCTGAGGGAACTAGGTCCTGCCATCTTGTGGCTGTGGGTGCTGCCATCTTTGAGGCTGTAGCAGTAAATTAGCATATGCCCTCCTATTGGCTGCGGGCACCGCTATCTTTGAGAGCGTGGTAGTCAATTAGCATATTCCCTCTTTTTTAGATAGGATTAGATTTATCTTTGTTGCACTGTAAATAAATGGTCTTATAAACAAGATAAAACCAAGGCCTTTTAAGATGTTAGTTATCCCAAATCAAAGATTAATAAAAATACTATTGCAGTAAACAAATGAGACTTAACAGTCATAGACAGTTATTTTTCTGTGAACAAAGCATTCAGAAGCCTGTACTTAGTGAATTTCTACTTCTGTTACGTAGGCTTCTATGGCAAAAATGTAATACTTTTTCTCTATTAAAGTCTGGTCCATCTCATTTTCTTAATTTATGACATTTGAGATTCTATGGCTTATTTAGCCTTAAATCTAGATGCATTGTTCATATATTCCTAATATAGAAAACATGATACCCTATTTCATCAATTTTAAGACACAATTCTTCATACTTTGAAAAATGAGATGCATCTTAAAATTGATTTGTATGATAGGTTGTTTTTTTGTTTGTTTTTGTATTATAGTTTAATGGAGGCATTTTCCCCCCTTGATGATATGTAAAACTAATAGGTAGTCATTGATGTTTTATGCTTGATAAAAAGTGATGATTCTTTTTAAAAAAAACCTTATGATGTGTGGTATATCTCTGTGGTAAAAAAAAATCTTAAGTGGTGAGAATATACTGGTATCATACTAGAGGCCCAATGCACAAAATTTGTGTAAGAGTGGGCCTTTCAGCTGAAACCGGTTTGGCTCAGTGGATAGAGCGTCGGCCTGCGGACTGAAAGGTCCCGGGTTCAATTCCGGCCAAGGGCATGTACCTTGGTTGCGGGCACATCCCCAGTAGAGTGCGTGCAGGAGGCAGCTGATCGATGACTCTCTCTCATCGATGTTTCTAACTCTCTATCTCTCTCCCTTCCTCTCTGTAAAAAAATCAATAAAATATATTTAAAAAAAAAAAAAAAGGGTGGGCCTTCCTTTCCTGAGCTGTCAGCACCAGCTTCCCTTTGGCATTCGGGACCCAGGCTTCCCTCGCAGCCCTGGCTTCATCTGGAAGGTCGACAGGTTTAATTAGCATATTACGCTTTTATTGTTATAGATTATTTGGAATTATAGACTTTCAGTGTTTTCTTCAGATCCCTTTCTTTTTGTTCTTACTATTATCATCCTAGTGTCAAAGCTAAAACAATTTAGTAATAAGTTTGATGTTCTTTATTCATTGGAAACCAGCCCAGGGTTTGGGGGGGTGCATTGCCTAACTAACACTTTCTGAGGGTTTGGGGCAGGAGCAGGTTTGATAGAGTGTTCAAAGAGACAAGAAAGGGATGATTGGCAGGGAGCTCCAGGTCCTACTTTCTAGGGTAGAGTAAACTGGCTGAAATTGAGTGGGAGGACTGATTGGTGTTAGGTTCCTTTGGCAGTGAGGTGTTCCCCTAGTGCATGCTGATTTTGGGTTAGGTTTGTGACATGGATGGGGCCACTAGGATGGCCTTATTTTGTGGGTCTCCATATACCAATTAACTTTATCACTAATTAGGTAGGTGCTTTACATAAAACTGGTTCCCTATCTGTGGAAAGCTGTCCAGAATTTAAAAAAGGAGAAGGAGGCAAGACTTGGGGTTGGGGATGAAGTGGAGTTAGGGTAGTGGGTGGGACCTCCAGGGTTAAGAAAAAAAAAAAAACACTGAGGGGCCATTATTAAGCAGCATTTTTCATTTACCAAGCTTTACTTGTCTGGAAATCCTTTTCAGGTTAAGACCCTGGCTGTGACATATTAGCTTGTGTGCTACTCAGTAGTTATCTAGGGAATACTCACCTCAGCCGTATTCCCTAGATTTCAAAAGCATAAATCCTTCTGCTAAGGCCTTTTTTTTCCCTGCAGAAGTTGCCCTGGTACCCCGTCCAGCCTTTCGGGTCAATCATCTGCTGCTACCTTCTCTTTTATAGGCCACATGGAGTTTGTGTTTCCTCGTAATTTGCGGTCTCAAAATTAATAACTAAAGGGGAATGCTTATGGAATGTACTTTTCTACAAGGAACTATTACATTTATGGGCACAACTAAATTTGTTGGTTTTTATAGTACAAATACTTTTTGGAAACTTCCTTACCTTACTCTGTCTTCAGCGTTTAGGTAGAGATTGGTGCATTCTTTCCGCTTTACTTCAAATACGGGTGCTGAGTTTTATATATTCCTGACAAAACATGCTAGTCATCACTCTTTATCAGTTAGCATTCACGTGGTGCTTTTTTCTGCTTATTGTCCTGCATTTGTTTCCTCTTTCCTCAGAGGATGTCCTGAGTAAAGACACTGGGGAATGTGCGATCTGCCTGGAAGACCTGCAGCAGGGGGACACGATAGCACGGCTGCCTTGTCTGTGCATCTACCATAAAGGGTGAGTTTATCTCTGCGCTCACACCGATGTTAGCCAAGATCTCCCTCAGCGTCTCAAACATTGTACTGAGGCGGAAAAGGCTCTTCTTCATTGACATACTCTCCCCCATTTCTTAACAAATAATGCCCCTTTTTACTGCTAGAATTAAGATTTTAGCCCATATCTGTTTATACCCCAAAATCTATAATTTGTCCAGCATTTACTGTGACCCAGGTATTGTTCACAGCTTCTAAAATAGGTCTCTCCTGTAAGCCTCGTATCAGTCTCATTTCTCAATAGGAAATGAGCTGGGGGACCATAGTAAAAACCTCTAGGTCACCTGGCTAGTGAATGGAAGAGCCCAGGTTCTACCCATGTCGGTTTGGCTCCAGATTCGGCCTGGTTTCTTCTAACGTATTTGTGGTTTAGAGCAACACAGGAAAAATTTTAAATTAACTACAAGAAGAGTATTAGCCACGCTGGGTTTTTTTGTTGGTGGTTTTTGTGTGTGTGTGTGTGTGTGTGTGTGTGTGTGTGTGTTCGTGTATTCTGTGTTAATCCTCACCGAGGATGTATTTTTACATTTTTTTAAAGAGAAGGGAAGAGACAGAGAAATACTGATTGGTTGCCTCGACCAGGGCTGGCGATAGTGCCTGCAACCAAGGTAGGTGCCCTTGACCAGAATTGAACCTGGGACCCCAGGGCCAACTCTCTATCCACTAAACCAAACCAGCAAGAGCCAAACCACCTTGGTTTATGGCATGTGCAAACTGGAGATGTGTCAATGGAGAGAATGCTAAATAGTTTGCATCTTGCTGGGGAAAATTCCTAGCTGTTGGGCAAGTTACTTAACCCTTTGCACTCCGCTGTCCCCTCTCAGGGGACATCGGAATTCTAGCATATCACTCGGATGTCCCCTCTCAGGGGACATTGCAATTTATTAGTGATTACGGGGAATTGAGTTAATTCAACGCACCTGCCGCAAAGTAGCGTCGAGTAGCTGGTAGCCAATGTCCAGAATGGTTCAGAGTGCAAAGGGTTAAGTTTATCATTTGCCACAGGGCGCTTTCTGTGGTGATGGAAGGGTTCTGTATCCGTACTGTTAGCAGAGAGCCACCAGCCCTGTGGCTGCTGAGCACTTGAAGTGTGGCAGGTGTGACTAAGGAACTGCACTTTTCCTTCATTTCACCTTAATGAATTTAAGTCTAAACACCCCCATGTGGTACGAAGCTACTGCATTGAACAGTGCAGATTGACAGGATAATGGTGTGCACCCTAATATTTAACTTCCCAACAAAATCATAAAACACTTCATAAATGCAAGTGGATAATGATATACTTATTGTGTATGTATATGTATTATAGGATAGAATAGAGTTAAAATAAGTACTTAATATTCACATATAAATATGGTCTTTTAAAATGTAATGCAGTATTGTCAAGATTTAAAAGCAGTTTTTGATTACTCTGTTAGGTTGATATTTATATAAATGAATAACTTTTGAAAAGAAACAGCTTTTTTCAGATTTGTCCTTTGATTTTGAATATTGGTAAAGTGGTAGTTCTTTTGATTCTTTTTATAATGATTGTTGCTTAAATTTTCAAGTGTTTTATAGCATAATTTTACAAAGATTATTTCTTTAACTGGTTAGAGTAAGCAAAATGTAATAAACACATTTTTATCTTTTACTTATATGTATATGCCAAATATGATAACTTAAAAGTATCTCATTTTTTGCAAAGAGGTAAGCATTTTTATTATGGCTATTATGACATTAATAATTAAGCATAAGTGTTTCTCCTTTTCTGGTTTTATTCTTTTCTAGCTGCATAGATGAATGGTTTGAAGTAAATAGATCTTGTCCTGAGCACCCTTCAGATTAAGCATCAGCTTCCTGTTTTATAGGTAATTTCTACCTTTTTTGTTTTAATTGCCTTTTGAAGTGTTATCTGTATTATACATTATCAACCATTTTCTTGGCTTATCCAAACTACTCCTCATCTTTCAGGCATTTCATGAAATTGCCACAAGTCAGTCCCATCTTCGGGCTCCACTTCTAATCCTGGTTCTCTTGCTGTTTCCACTGCATCTGCAGTTACTTCCTCCACTGAAGTCTAGAGCCCTCAGTCACCTATGAGGGTTGGAATCAACTTCCCAACCCCTGTAGTGTTGATGGTTTGCCTTCTTCCCATGAAGCACTAATGTTTTCAGTGGCATCTATAATACCAAATCCTTCCAGAGGGTTTTCAAAGGAATGACTGGCAAATACAGCTTTGCGAAATGTATTTCTTGAATAAGACTTGAAAGTCAAAATTAGTGCTTGATTTCCTGGGCTGCAGAATGGATGCTCTGTTAGGCATGAAAACAGCAATCATCTCGTTGTACATCTCCATCAGAGCTCTTGGGTGACCAGGTACATTGTCACTGCGCAGTACTATTTTGAAAGGAATTTTTTTCTGAGCAGTACGTCTCAGCAGTAGGCTTAAAATATTCAGTAGCCATGCTGTAAGCCATGGTTTATATGCTGTTCTCCAGGTTTTGTTTTACTGTTTATGTAGCAGATTAGGTTGAGCATTCTTAAAGACACCAGGACTTTCAGGTTGGTAATGAGCATTGGCTTCAACTTAATTGTATTAGCCCCTCGCAAGAGAGTCAGCCTGTCATTTGAAGCTTCAAAGCCAGGCACTGACTTCTCTCTGGCTATGAAAGTCCTAGGTGACATCTGTAAGGCTGTTTTGTCTCCATGCAAGTGTGTGGTGGAATGTAGCCACCTTCATTACCTTGGCTAGACCTTCTGAATAACTTGCTGCAGCTTCTAAATCATCACTTGCTGCTTCACCTTGTACTTTTATGTTATGGAGATGGCTTCTTTCCTTAAACCTTATGAACCAACCTCTGCCAGCTTCACACCTTTCTTCTGTCTCTTCACCTCTCAGCCTCCATAGAATTGAAGAGAGTTGGGGCTTTGCTTTGGATTAGGCTTTGGCATGGAGGCATGTGGCTGGTTTGATCTTCTCTAGACCAGTAGAGCTTTGCCCATATCAGCAATAAGGCTGTTTTGCTTTCTTATTCGAGCATTCAGTGCAGTAACACTTTTAACTTCTTTTAAGAACTTATCCTTTGGCCCCGGCCAGCATGGCTAATTGGTTGAGCAACCTATGAACCAGGAGGTCATGGCTTGATCACCAGTGGGGGGGCATTTAAGAGGTAACTGATTAGTGATTCTCTCATCATTGATGTTTCTATCTACATCTCCCTCTTCCTTCCTCTCTGAAATCAATAATTCAAAAAGAAGAAAAAGAAAAGCTTATCTTTTGTATTCATAATTTGGCTAACTGGTACAAGAGCCTAGCTTTCAGCCTATCTTATTTTTCAACCTGCCTTTCTTACTACACTTACTCCTTTCTAGCTTCTGATTTAAAGTGAGAGATGTGGGACTCTTCCTTCCACATGAACACTTAGAGGTCATTGTAGGGTTAGTAATTATCCATTGTTCAATATTGTTGTGTCTCGGGGAATAGGGAGGCCCAAGGAGAAGGAGAGAGACTGGGGACCTGGCAGTTGCTGGAGCAGTCAGAACACACTCAGCATTAAGTTTGTCTTATGTGGGCATGGCGTGTGGTCTCCAAAACAATGACGTTAGTAACGTCAAAGATCACTGATCACAGATCACCATAACGAGTAGAATGATGACAAAGTTGAAGTGTTGACATAGTCTTTATTGTAGAGAGAAAGTACTATGTGATGGTGATTTTTTATGATATTTTAAGCATTAATTGGTTCTTGATCTGTTCTTTTGAAGAACACTACCTTTATGAGTTTTTAGAATAGTAAGTGTGTGAAATTTTACGGTAACTGAAGCAGTGTTCATGGGAAATGAATGTTTGTTTTGATTTGTATTACTAGTGTGGACCTTTGCTTAAATCAAAATGTATCTACTTTTACACAGGTTTTCTTCTCTTCTCAAGATGCTTAAAAAAACAAGAGGAAATGGGGATCTGTCTCTGGAAAAACAAAAAATGCAGGCATACTCAGCCAAAATCTGAGTTCTGTGCAACTCAGTTGATGCAGAGGTGGACAATCATATAGGGAAAAACCCTGCTGGAGGGAGGACATTTGCCACAGAACTCAGTGCACCAAACATGACATAAGGACTCACAGGGATTTTGAAAATGCTGCACATCCCTTACTAGTCATCTACATCGGTAATGCTGATAAACATTTTGTATGCAGACGCCAAAGTTAACTGATTTAAAAGTTGATTTACTTTTTATTAAGTTCTCTAGAGCCGCGCAACTAGTGTTTTGATTTGTTGTGTTTTTTAGTTTGGGGGTCTTTTTATTTTCTCCAACATGATGTTTCTGCATTCATCTATTTTTAAGTTGAAGACCACATACTTTTCTTCCTATAAATTAAAGTTTTAAATGTGAAACCAAGAAATGTAATCAAGCAGTGAAACATTCTCTGAATGTAGACCATGATCTCAAGTTCTAATATTTCCCCCCAAAAAAGTGGAAAATAGACTTCTACATAGGAAAGCTAAAATACTTAAACATTTTAAATTAAAAGTTTAATGTTAACAGAATGCAGTCCAAAGAGTAAATCAGGTTACATAATTACATTTTAATGAATTAAATATTGGATTGTCTACTGAATTGTAATTTCTTAAGTATATTCTCTCCTCTTAAATAAAACTGCTCGACAGCCAATCAGCAATGAATCATCTTGCAGCTATGCAATTTAAAAAAAATACAAATTATCAGTTTTAAGTGCTGCCAACTGCAGTAATGTTGTTTTAACGGGTATTTTCATTTGTTCTTTTCATGTAATTATTTAATTGTGCTTTGCATCTCCAGGCAGTTTTCCCACATTTGGGTAAAATGTTTTAGCAGGTTGTAAGCTTCATAACTTATGAAAAGAGTAAAATAAAATTTTCTTGAGTGGAACTTGGAATAATTTGAGGGACTTTTATATACTTTTAAAAATCAGAAATCAATTAGGATGTCAGATTTATAGCAGTATGCATCTTTAATTTTCCAGATAATCTGGAAGTTAGTGTTTGATAAATGATTTTTAAAGCAAATATGAAGATTTTGTTAATTTATAATTTATTAGTGTGTTGTTGCTGTAATTGAAAATGTTATAGAACATTTAAATTCAGTTTTGTGTAGAAAGAAATGTGTTAAACAAAATTATGTGAATAAATATTCCCACAAAATACATCTGAATGGTTAAAAAACACTGGGAGAGAGTTATTAGGGCTGCAATATGGAAATATCCTATTTTTCCTTTTTTTGTGTTTGAATATCAGAAATCCCAATAAGTAGATTGCTATTTTCAACCTGGGGAAATGTTATCAGTGAGCATTTAAGCAGTGCACTTCTCTCGGCATAAGTGAAAGTTGCACAGAAACATTTTCTTGTCTTAAGCCTTCTTTCATGTATTTAAGTATTTGTTTTTCTATTTAATGCTACTATTCTTTATTCTCTTTTTTCCTCTCTATTGCTTCTGTTTCTTTCTCGTGTGTGTGTATGAGTGTGTGTGTGTGTGTGTGTGTGTTTTGTTTTTGTTTTCTTAAAGGGCATGTACAGGAGCAACTGCTGCTACCCAGCAAATTTGTGTATTATAAACAATTAAAAGAGTTTTTTATTGCTTTCTGTGTGATTTTGGACCAGATAACATTTTCCCTAAGTTATACTGTGAAATGCCTTTGTTATGCTGTACTTGATAAAAGAAGCCCAAACCTCCAGTGTGACAGCTGACAGCACAGTTTCATAGGTGCTTTCTGAATCAGTTTTGGAAAATAATTTTTTCCTCAAGGGAGATATTCTTAAATTTTTTCTGTTATCATGAAATCTTAATATGAATCTATTCCACATTTTCAATTTTGTGAGTTTTCACACACACATACCGCAGGAAAAACCTCTTATAATGTGAATAATTCATTTTTTTCTACCTCTGGTATAATGTTACTTAGTTTTCTTCCATTCTGGAAGGAACGAGTTTACTGTGGCAGTGGTGGCTCACTGCTAGAGCTCTTCTGGAAGTTGACTTTCCGATGTGATTTGCTCACTGACTTTTAGAGCGTGTCGGCCTAGGCTCCCCTCGGTTCCCCTTGGTTCTCCTCTGCGCTGATCCTGGGCCGCGTCTCCGTCTTTCTCTGTGAGGTCTGCTGCGGCTGCTCCGCGTCTGTTAGTGTCAAGTGCGACTTGTCACAGCGTTTGTCTGGAACGTTATTAACTTGTTTATAGCAGTCCTTTTTTAATTAAAACTTAAAAAAGTTAAAAAAAATTTACTTTAAATTCAGTCTCCATCAATAAGTTCCTAAAAAGAACTGAGAAATTGAAAAGAAAATGCTTTTCAAGCCCCCGATGCTCTAGTTTTTATTCAATGTTGCTCTTCTGGAAGATGTTATAAGTAATATTCTACATAATGCCACATAATATTTATAACTTGTATGCAGACACTGAATAGTGTAAGTAGGACATAAAATGACATTAGATATTTAAATGTGTAGCTCAAAGTACTGGCAGCTGAATATTATGGAGACAAAATAAAGATTGAAAACCTAAGTTGTCAAGTTGGTGATAGCTTTCTAGAATCTTTGTAAATACTTATTTTCAAATAAGATCACACTTGCAAATATAGGAAGCAGTATGTTTTGAAATTTCACTCACTGGCACCTTCTTCATAATGGATTTAACTGCCAGTTTTGACTCTGTCTTACTGAGATCTGACTGCCCCCCCCCCCCCCCCCCAAGGATGTGTAAGAGCAGAATTACTGTCTGACTTTTGGCTCTTTGCCAGAGAAAAAGACTAAGTAAGCACATTAACCTGTGTTTTTCAGAGGTGGTTATGAATCGGATATAGATTGTGTTTTAAGAGCAGTGTTTATGATTGAAATACAAATAATGGTTTCTATAACTGATTTTTCTGTAGTAGCTGAAACATTTAAAAACATGCTGTTATCTGTTACTTACTATATATGTTTTCTATTTCTTTTATAGGCTATACAGTTATTTCAGTTTTCACCCACTAAATTAGTGGAATACGTAGCCCAAATGCCTGAGGGCACCCTCAGCATATTTGCAATATGTATTTTAGTTAATAAAAATGGCAGATTCTATTTCAAAGCTTATTTTACTTTCTAAAGTTGGGTCTAGTAACCTGTAAGAGCAATCATTTAAATTAACATAATCATAACAAGACATACGGGTCTTCCTTTAAATGAAACAGATTGTAAATTTATAGTAAATATTGCCTAATTTTTTTTTTTTACTGACTTGGCGTAAAGGGAAGAAGGGAAATTTCCTAACAGTAAGCTACATTTGAACAAAGCATGAGATTCTTTAATTAAAAACTCATGAATGATTGAATTAACATCTAATTGACATACACTTTATGCATTGATAATAATAACGAAGTCATCTTACTCTTTGTAGAGTAAGGGTCCATATAGATTCGGTTATTGGGAACTTTATAAAACTGCATAGAGGTAAATGCTGCTTAGTAAATATAGTACTGTGTGTTGCAGGAAGTCTTCTAGTTCATTTGGGCCATTCTCTTGCAATTTGATTTATTCTGAGGTGAGCTCAGTACGTATTGGCAATGGTGGTTAAATGTGATATGGTTAAATGTGATGTGTCCCACATCACATTTAACCACCATTGCCAATATGTTCTGATATTTTCTAAGTTAAAAACAGATATTTTCTAAGTTAAAAACTCTGGCATACCAATATTTTGTGTTTGGCCCATTCCCTCCCCTCCACCTCCTCCCCCCACCCTCACCCCAGATATGTAACTTCTGATGTTTTCTTTGCTGTATTGTGAATAACAATAGTTCAGTTATCTTTTTTCTGGGAACTTCTCATCTCTACTGGGATCTTTCCGTTCAGAAACTAAGTTGCCACTTGGCTTTCTACAGAGGAAGTGGCTACTTGTTGTGCTCCAGTGGTGAGTTTTACTCAGCAACAGCTGGTGCAACTTCCATAAGGATTTAGCCAGAGAACACTCGGAGTGCCTATCGCATTTTGTGAATGCTGTGCTTAAGATAGGGAATTGAATGTTCTTTTTAAACACAGAATTCCTGCATTGAATGGGGAATACCTGGTCTTTTATGTCAGGCGAGTTTACTTTCCACATTGATTTACTGTGGAAAGTAAAAGGCATTGAAGAAAACCAGATGTGTTGATGTTGATGAAAATACAGCGTTACTTTCTTTACCGAGTCAGTACATTTTCAGGTATTAAAGCCATCATTAGTTTTAGACCAGCGGCTAATAATAAGGTAGACTGTTGGTTGCTTATTTATAGAGAGGCAAAGAGCAGCATGGTATGAACATACACCCCAGCAATAAATGAAATTTTTGGAAGTGGTATTGTACTGCTTAACTCTGCCCTGGACTGTGGAGCACCTGTCAGGACCTATTCTTAGACACAGAGTAACTTGTTTCTTCGATATCTAGTTCTTAATTAAAATGGAACCATTCCTAATTGATATTTTTAATAAAGCTTCCAAATGAGCTTGCCAAAGTATCCTGTAATTTAGAATAATGCTTTCAAGAAAATCTGTCATTTCCACTTTTATGTCTATAAGTTTACAGTACTTAACAGTAAAATAGAGTTATCTGAATGCTGAAAGGTTACGATGGGTTAATTAATGTTACAGTTTCTCTATCTGCTTTTGTATAATCATTATCACAAAGTTGGATCCAAAAGTATTGGTTAAAATTTTGTGGTAATGTAAGAAATGGCTGTTTGTGGTGGTAGTGGAGAAAAAGCTCTTTCTTCATTACCTTAACCATTTGTGCTGATTTACTTGGAAATTTCTAATGTAAAACCTATCTGTAAATTTTGTATTTGCAGCACAGTTTTCAGGATGAAAGTATTGTTTGTAGCGTAGTGGTTAAGTGGTTAAGGGCATGGATTCTATCTGGAACCAGACTGCCTAGTTTACCTTCTCCGTGCCTTGCCTCTGCCTATAGAAAAGGTAATGCTGCTGTCTACCTCAAAGTTGTGAGGATTAAATGCACCAGACACTAGAGCATCTAATAATGTTCAGTGGTTATTATGAACAATGAAAATACGTGTGCCATCTATGAATAAATATTTTTGTTAGTCTCTCCAGTCATAAGGTGTAGGAGTAATGCCTTAGACCTAAGCTGATGTGTTTAAGAAACCTAACTATAATAGAGGACATTGTGAGTTCTGATCTTTCCTCTTGCTAAAATCTAGAGATTTCCTATTTTGGCAATTATATATGAAACACTACTTGGTTCTATGGACTGTTGGGGACCAACAATATTGAAATCAAAGATAGCTGACCTCTAGGAACTAATCTTTATTGGGTGAAGTGAACCAGGGTAACATAATAAAGAATAATAAATGCTGTGATTGCCAGATCCACAGCGTGTTGTGCAGGTAGCAAGGAGAGTCATGAGTAAACCAAGTCTTTATGAGCAAACAGATCCTAACTGTAGGACAGTGGTCGGCAAACTCAAAGTCAACAGAACCAAGTATCAACAGTACAACGAATGAAATTTCTTTTGAGAGCCGAAAACCCGATTTCTGCGCATGGGCCACAAAGTTTCAATCGTACTGTATGTGCACACCCGCACGTGGTATTTTGTGGAAGAGCTACACTCAAGAGGCCAAAGAGCCACAGTTTGCCGACCACTGATCTAGGAGATACAGATAAAAAAACGTGTGGAGTGGGAAGTTTGGGAAGGGTATTCCCAAGGCAGAAAGCATACCTCAGCCAAACATGACAGTCTTGGAGTTGGTATATCTAGATAGTTAAACAGATGACAAATCCTGAAGGGATGTATTTAGGCCTAGTAATAATTAATGTTGTTTTCTAATACTTTTTTAAATCGAATTTATTTAAACTACAACAAAATTTAATCAACAATATAGTTGCCGTTGTTTTCTACTAGTGCCCAACGCTCAGGAAGCATTTTAATCCCTCTGTTGTAAAATTCTTGTGATTTTGATGCAAAAAATTCGGTCAATGCATTTTTGAGGCATTCTTCATTATTAAATTTTTTTCCAAGAAGAAAGTTTTGCAAAGAACAAAACAAATGGTAATCAGAAGGGGCAATATCAGGAGAATATGCAGGTTGAGGGAGAACTTCCCATTCCAACTGGCGCAGTTTTTCAGCAGTGATTCTTGCAGTATGCGGTCGTGCGTTATCGTGGTGAAGAATTACGCCCTTCCGATTAATCAGCGCGGGTTCTTTTTCTCTTAAAGCTTGGGCTAACCTTTCCAATTGGGCACTATACACTGCACTTGTAATGGTTTGGTTAGATGGTAAAAGTTCATAATGAAGAATTCCTTTAAAATTCCACCAAACACACAACATCACTTTTTTCGCATGCAAGTCAGGTTTTGGCGTGGGCTGCGGAGCCTCATTTTTGTCCAACCATTGAGGCCGCCTTTTCAAATTAACATACAGCACCCATTCTTCATCTCCGGTAACAGTTTGCTCTAAAAACGGCAAACGGTTTTGACGAGAGAGGAGTGAACTGCAAATTGTGACTCTTTGATTACGGTTGTTGTCTGTCAACTCATGAGGAACCCATTTTCCAAACTTTTGGACTTTGCCAAGTGCACGCAATTGATTGGAAATTGTTTTTTGTTGGGTAATTTGAGGATTTTGCACCAAAAGAGCTTGAAGAGCTTCTTGATCAAAATTGGACACACGGCCTCGACCACTCTTGTCATCTAACGAAAAATTTCCCTCGCGAAATTTCTCAAACCAACGCTGGCATTTTCTGGCGCTAACTGCATCTTGACCAAGAACACTACATATGTTTTTTGCAGCCTCACTTGCTTTTCTTCCTAATTGGAACTCGTAAAGCATGCAGTGCCAAATATGCTCTTCATCCGCCATCATCTTAGCCCTAGTTTTGCAACAAAAACCAAACCAAACAAACTTTTTCAAGCAAAACTTGTTAATTGCACTTCACACGTTCTGTAGATACCACGTGTTTGAACGTTATGTCAATACAAGTCAACGCCAAGCAAGATTTTAAATGAATGTTTAAAAACGACATTAATTATTACTAGACCCAAACTCTGTGCCAAACTATACTTGAGAGATTTTAAACAGGAAAAAGACAAATCAGGAAGAAAAGGAGGAGACTAGCGGTAAGAGTGCTGTAGAAACAATTCATTTTGGTGGTCATTTAGTGTAAGGCATGAAAGACAATACCAGGACAACTCCCAGTTGTACTTTTATCACATCTTAATACACTGTGGACCCATAGTTTTATTGCTAGCTTTACCCAGTGGCCAGATAAGTTGCTATTGAACGAGTACAAAACCGTTTTACATAAATGTTAAAGGCTTGCTTTTGAAATTAATTATTACATGTTCTTACAAGCTAATACCTTTTTAAAGTAGGATTGGCCACAAGCCTTACAACAGAAAACACGAGAATTCTCGTGATCCGTCTGCAGTGTGTTAAGGACAAGATCTCTGCCTGGGAAAAGCTGATGATGCCAGAAGTATCTGCTGGAGAACCTGAGATAAAGAACACCAATTCTGACACCCAAGGATTGGATCTTAAATGGAAGGCAGAGCCTTGAGAAGCCAGTCAGGAATACTGGGCAAGTCGTGAGGAAGAAGGGGAGTGCGTGCGTGCGTGCATTAGGGTTCAGGAGGTATTAGACACAGTTGTTGCCAGTGCTGTTAGAGGAGGCGGTAAGTACAGGTGTGCAGGTAAGTACACTGAGCTAGTTGGATGTCTAGGTTGGCTGACCTGGACCTTTCCCGGCATCCCTGCTCCCTCCTACCCACAGTTGCCTGTTGGAGGAGGGCTGTGCTTCCCCTCCTCCATCTGTCCCATATCTCTCATCTGTCCCATATCTCTCCATTATACCAGTGTCCTCAGACATTCACACCAGAAGAAAGCTGCTGTTGGGAGCAGAGTCTATGGAAGTAGCAAGATGGGAAGGGTGAATATTGCTGTCTGAGGGATGCTGTTGGGATGGGTGGGTCAGGTTGGCAAGAGGAGGACCAGGAAACATGGGCCAGTTCCTGGGGAAAACGATAACTCCAGGCAAAAGTTGGTAATGGGTATGGCATATGAAATATATGACTAGAGTGGGTGTGCGAAACCT